TTTATTTTTTATTTATTTTTTATTTATTTTTTATTTATTTTTGAGTTATTTTTGATTTATTTTTTATTAATAAAATATAAAAATAAAAATAGTATTTGATTATAAAATTTTATATAGCTTATGTAATTTTAGTAGCTCGTGTGAGCATGAATTACTAAGAAACTTTTACTAATATAGAGGGGTAATGCTTACATGAGCCTTTAAAACGCTTACATGACATATGTCCACAAAGCGGGCGAGGGTTAGGTGACCTGGGCTATTTTAAACGCTTATATAAGCCTTTAATATATAATCTTTAAGTCTTGGCGGTTATATAACCTATAAATACTAAAAAGAATTTATTATGTATTTAACCTTTTTTACCTTTTTTATAATATTTTAAAATTTTTCAAATTTTTATATAATACTAACCATGGCTTATTTAAATAAAGTTATAAATATTAAATACTTTTTAAGCCCTTAAAAACTAGTTAAGTTACTTTTTATTATATTTTTATTATTTATTTATTATTTTAAAAATAATATTATTAGTACTTAAAGCATGGACTTAAGGGTAATATTTAATACTTATTTTATAAAATTATAAGTTACCTTTTTTAAGCACTTTTTAAGTACTTATAAAAGGCTTAGTATTTACCCTTTTTTACTTTATTAAAAAATTAATTTTTTTAAGTTTATTTCTATTTTTTACTTACCTCACCATGGAGTACTTAACAAGTATTTTTTAATTATTTATTAATTACTTAAGTTTATAGCTATAAATTTTATAATTTTATAATTTTTCATACCTTTTTATTTAATTACTTATTAATTACTTGCTAATTACTTAGTTAATTATAAAAAAAATATTTTCTTTATTTTAAAAAAAGTTTTACTAGGCTAAAAACTATTTTTTTTATTATTATAAGTACTTGGTAATTACTTAGTAACTACTTATTAGCTATTTATTTTTATAATCTTTGAATTTATAAGCCCAAGCTGCCTATTTAAAAGTTAAAAAAGGTAATATTATTATACAAAATATTAATAAGGTAATTAGTAAGTGCTTATTAATTATTTATTAATTATTCAATTACTACTTATCCCCCTTAGTATTTTTTTAAGTTTTTTTTTAATAATACCTTTTTTTATTATTAAAAGCACGGCAAGCATTTTATAAGTAGCTACCTAGTAATTAGCTTTTCTTATAATGAATAAAAAATTTTAAAGCCTTCCCTCCCGCGTAATATAAAGGAAACTATAAATATTTATTAATTATTAATTAATTACTTACTGACTAGTTAAAAACTTATATTATAAATATAAAAAATATAAAAAATGCAAAAAATAGGCTATAAGGTACTATATATTACTTATAATAACTTTAAAATATATTACTAGGACTTAAAGGGGCCATGTAAAAATTTTACCTTTTTTAATTATAAAAATTTAATCCCTTATATAAGTATTTTTTAACTACTTATTAATTATTTATTTCCAAGTTTAAGCATTAGCCCGCTATAACACCTAAAAAAATAAGTAAGTATTCCCTTAATTACTTGCTAATTATTTATTAATTATTTATAAAAAACCCCTTTTATTTATAAAAAGGCTTGTACTGAAAAAATTATAATCAAAATATAAATATAAATACTTGCTAGCTACTTTTTAAGCACTTACTAATTATTAATTATTTAAAGGTTACTATTAAAACTAGCTTTTTCAAAAAAGTAAAAA